TACCTGCATTCTGCCTGTGTGTACAAGTTTAGGAAGGCAAAGGTGTAGAGAAAAGCTAGATATCCTTCTTTTTTTTTTTTTTTAGATATCCTTCTAAATGTCTTCTACATGTAGGGAATGGGGGGGGGGAGATTCATGGAGCAGAAAATGTTTAAAATAAAAAGAGGGAAGATGGGATGAAGATAAGAAGAATGACAGAATATAAACAAGAGGGAAAGGTGCAGAGAATTGAGAAAATGAAGTTATGGATGCAAAGTGATGTAGATAGAGGGAGAAGATTATAGAAAGGATAATGTTTTGGGATCTCTCCTAATTCCAGGAGAGAAGTGTCCACAGGAGGGAAGTGTGCACCTTGCAAATATTCAGAGTATACAATCAAGCCCCTTGAGGGCCCACCCACATTCCCGTACCCACTTTTCCCAACTCTAACCCCAACCTCATGGCTACGTCCTATCCTCCCCACACAGCCCTCACAGACCTTTACTCAAAGTTATGACAACAGGATGCAATTTTTCAGCCTCAAGTTCTCTGAGGCCAGGTCCCCAGCACGCCTGCGGTGATGGCTGGGTCACGGCAGCCCCAGGTCCCCTCTGTCCTGAGAAGGTCTCTGTTCTGAAGGATCCTCCAATCTCTGGCACCAAGGACAGATGCTCAAGTCACCTTCTTCCAGGTTGAAAGGAAAGATCCTGGCTTCTGCTCAAATTAAACACGCAGGCACTGGCCAATCCCATACATGAAGATAGTATGCTTCGTTTGCATACTCCCGCCCAACGCGCTGTGGAAAAGCAAGGGCCAATGAGCCACTAGGGATTGACTGCCTTTGAAAACTCCCCAGAGGGTGTGTGGACAACAACAATAAACACCAGCACACTGGGAGGAATGGAAATGAGGGAGTGGGGAGAGAGTAGAGAAGCAGAGCTTGAGGAAAGGAAAGACATGTCAAGGGACAGAGCCTGTCAGAGGCTGGCCATGATCACTGCCGACCAGTCTGAAATCAATCCCTAGCTGACCCTCTAGGGGCCTTTCAGAGGCTGTAAATCACAAGAGAGAACATTGTCTCTCTCAGTCTCTGGTTGAGTCAGTGGATTAGAATCACCTATTTTGGGGGTTGGGAATGCAACTCCTTTGCCATCAGGCCACTATCAAAAGGCCCTACCACGGCTGCATTCGTGCTAAACCGAGTGTGCAGCAAACTGACAGTTCTTATCAGAAGAGGAATGAACGTTCAACTTCAACGTGCACCTCAACGGAGTCTTGGTCGTCACCCATACGGATGTGGCTAAGCACCCCTAACTCTTCTAAGAAAAATCTCACTGACAAAAGCTGGTGGGTCCTGAATGTCATAGTTAAAGTCATAGTCCTGAGGCCAGGGAATCACCAGGGGCCTGGACTTGAATCACAGGGGCCTGGTCAGCAGACTCTTACATTACAGTCTCTTCAAGGTGGACTTACGCACGCGGTTTGCAGAGAATCTCAACAGCTGGAGCTGTAAGCGGTGACTCAGGATGTATCTTTCTGTCCTTTGCATAGTCAATGCTTGTCTCCAACACAACTCAAACGCCTCAATTCTTCTTCTATCACAACTCAAAGGCTTCAATTCTTCTTCTTCTATCATTCTTATTCCTTTTCCAACTTTCACAAGTGTAAGAAGCTATTCCGAAGACCCAGTCTTGAAACACGAGGAGACACAAAAAGGTTCATTTGGGTCCTTTTCTTTGGTTTAAGATGTGTTTCTTCTCGAGTTCCTCTTGAAGACATGCACTCCATGTGGTGAATTTCCTATTTTGGAGTTAAATACATAATGTGTGTATGTCAAGAAATCACAAAAGTGTCCTGTTAGGGGAGCAGAATGTGAATGAAGTGTGTCTCTCTAAATATGTTTATGTCTGCCTTTCTTTTTAGATTGGGTGTGGACAACCATTCCAAACACTATGTTTCATTCACGTACAATGTGTTGTAGGCCACTGGGCATACACAGTGTTCAGTTATCTTTCTTGTCTCAGTATTGAAAAAGGAATTCTAGTGGTGTACAGTTAAGGTCTAACGTGTTCCAAGAGAAAGACAGGCTGTCTGATTTCACCAGCTTGGGAATTCCGTAAGATTGAACTTGCAAAACGCTGGCCTTGGAAGACTATGGGTAGTTTTACCCAGTTTTATAGCATAAACAGGAGTTGAATCCACCAGCTTATTCTGTAGGCCAAAGAGGTGACAGTTGACTTATATAAACATTACAGCCATGAATATGGGCCATTTGACTCGGTTCTACAGGATGAAGTATGAATAAGAACAATGGGACAGAAATGAAATCCTTCTTGCTATTTCTTTTCACTCTGTAGGAGCTCTTCAGAGAAATGTGTCTGGTTTTCCTGAAAAGATTCGCTCACGCTTGGGTCTGGTACCTTTATTTTGTGATTTTTGGTTTTACCTTTGAGGTAGTTCATTTATGTAGACTTACTTTTTGGTCTATGAGAATATTTTTCTTTGTAAAAAAAGTGTCAATGATTGAGTTGTGTCCTCCAAAAAGGTATGCAGGTACTGATGGAGTGAAGCTATGTAACAAAATGAAGTGAAGGGATAATTGTAGCTAGGTACTATCTAGTGGATAAAAACTCACAACCCTATGAAGAATAGATCTTTAATCGTGCTCTATTCCTAAACCATTCTGACAGTGTCCACCATACCAACATACTCAAGTCCACTATTAAAGTTACTATGCTAAGCTATTTTGTTGAGGGTCTTCTCTTTCTCTGACTCTTCATTGTCCAAAACATGATGTTCTGGGGAGCTCTGGTGGCCTAGTGGCAAGAAGCTGCAACTACAATCCCAGAGGCGCAAGGTTCGAATCCACCAGAGGCTCTGCCGGGGAAGGAGGGACAATCTCCTCCTGTACCAGTCACAGCTGATTTGACGGTACACTCACACAAAAATAATAATTAAAAAAAAAATTAAAAAAACAAAAACAAAGACATGATGTTCTTTTGCAAGGTTTTGCCCCTCCTAACAATATGCCCAAAAGATAATAGAAGAACTGATGCCTCTGAGTTGTTGTGCCGGACAAGAGTATTGACATGGACTGCTAAAAGAACAGGTCAGAGGCGCACGGTTCGAATCCACCAGATGCTCTGCCGGGAAAGGAGGGACAATCTCCTCCTGTACCAGTCAGATCTGATTTGACGGTACACTCACACAAAAATAATAATAATAATAATAAAAAAGAACGAACAGGCTTGTCCTTGGGAGAGTGAAACCAGGCTGCTCCTTGGAGGCAACGATTTTGAAACTGCATGTCACATACTTTGGGCATGTTGCACAGAGGGACCAGTCTTTGGAGAGGGCCATCATGCTTGGAAGGGTACAGGGACAGCACAAGAAAGGAAGACTCTTTGTGAGATAGACTGACGCAGTGACTAAGGCCATGGGAATGGGTGTGTTGGGAGATGATGAAAGTTGGCTCAAGAGAACAAAGAGCTCATAGCTGTTGTACATAGGGTCACTATGAGGTGTAAATGACTCAATGGCATATAACATGTGGGGGAAAGCTTCACCATCCTTGCATCCAAGGAGCGTTTTGGCTGTATTTTCTCCAAGAGTTACTGTTCATTTTCCTGGCAGGCCATGGAATATTCAGTACTCTTCTCCAACACCACAACTCAAAGTCATCAATCTTTCTATCATCTTTCATCACTGTCTAGCTCTCCCATACAAAGGAAGGGATTAAAAAGGCTGTGATTTCAATCCTTTGTAGATAAAACAGCTGTCATATGAGTGGAAGGACTCTTTTATTCCCATAACCACCCTGATTGATGAAAGGAAAACTTCCTTAAAGTGTACCCTATTAAGGCCTTTCATTTCAAAAAAAGATAAACTTGTTGGGGGGATGGGGTCCTCAACAGAACTAAAAGAATCACCAGGAGTGTCGCATGTCTAGTTGGACCCAACTTCCTGAGAAAGTTCCTTAACTTATAACCTCCTAAACGGTAATGGTATAAATTTCAATTTGCTATACAAATTCACTGTTGGTATCAGGAGACAAGAGTGTAGACAATGTGTGGTGCTGGAAGAATTCACTGTCAGTGATTTCTCCCAAGTATTAAGCAACAATGGCATCAGTTTGAAGGCTAAGTAACACCTGATCCAGGCTGGGACATTTTTAGTCACTTGCAATTTCCCTGAAAAGTGCTTAATGAATAAGGAGAGGACTAGAATAGATGTTGTTGAGCTGTGGTGCTTGAGAAGAGCTCTGACTATCTCACGGGCTATTAAAAGAGCCAACAGGTCATTTTTAAAATTAGTCATTACTTTTAAAGAACATTTAAAGAGATTTTGGATTTCCATTCATTGATTGTTGTACTTATCTTCCTGCCCAACCCGCCCCGCCTGGTTCACTCTTCTCTTTGAAAAGTAAAATGTCTTCATTGGTATACACCCCCAGGCCCACCCCAGAAAGCTCCACTATGCAACCTTCATTCTGGACTCCTGTCATAACCATAATACCCAATCATATATCGCTTTTAAAACTGTTCTCTCCCTCATCTGTTTCAGTGCAGTATACATTATTTATCCAGATTTTCTCAGTCTTACCCCCAACCCTGATGTCAGTCCCGTTCTACGACAGTGGCACTATGAAGTATTTTTCTTTTTGTGACTGAGATATTTCACTCGGCAGAATGTCCTCCAGGGTCAAGGAGGAAAACAAATTTTCTCCAGAACTTCAATTAATAAACCCAGAGGAAAATGAAGGGAACTGAAAGTTTCATTTTCTAAACGCTACAATAATTAGAACCACTGGAAATACATGTTGTAGAAATAAAAGAGTCACTGGAAAGAAATATGCCTAGATACAAAAGTGAACAGACAGAAGTATTAAGAAAAATCAGATTAATTGTTGCCTCAAAGTTTTTACAGTATGAAAACTTACATTTTCTAAATGCCACAATAATTAGAACCACTGGAAATACATATTGTAGAAAGGAGAAACAGCGGAAAGAAGTATCACTAGATACAAAAGTTAATAGAAGTATGAAGAAAAATCAGATTAATTCCTGCCTCAAAGTTTTTACCCTGTGCAAACTTAGTAATGATGAAATGTAAAATAAGGGAAATAAGCAAAGGACAAGTCTCAAAAATGGAAAAACAACAGTTTACAGACATGATGAGTCTGTGTAATTATATGGAAAAGAGCACTGGTACATATGAAAAACATAATACACTCAAGGTTCACTTCATCCTTATTTCTTATTTTTTTAATTAAATTTTATTAATGTTAATGAACATTTACAGAGATTTTGGGTTTCCATTCATTCACTGTTGCACTATTTCATCCTTATGTCTAATAGCCATTTTAAGAGGTCAACAATTCATCTTGGAGTGAGAAAGGACACAGTCCCACAAAAAGGACACAGCCACTTCCTCAAAGGCACATGGTAGCTGAGGGAGCCCAGCTTTTAATGAAGATTGCTTTCTCAGTCAAGGACATTTTACTGAAGGCCGTTGTGTGAAAGTTTGGTACCAGTAAAGATGAAAAAAAAAGAAAGGAATTATTATATTAAGATTGGTAAAAAAAAAAAAAAGGAATTATTTAAAAAACCCCACTTCTTTAGGATTGATGACATCGAGTTCTTCTTTGTATGACAGGGTGTGAAGGCCACCTAAAAGTGTGTCCCCATTTCTGTCCTTATTTGCACTGTGAATCCTTTCCTTCTGAGGTGTGCGGAACACGGGAAGGCCTTTTCACATTTCTTACACGTGTAAGGGCTCGCTTCACTGGAAGTTCTCCGGTGTGAAGCGAGTCTTGTGGCCTGGTGCAAGGTGTTGCTTGGTCCTGATACTCACAGGGACTCTTGATGGCGAGTTCTTCTGTGTGTAGTAAGGTGTGAGGAACACCTAAACCTTGTCCCACATTTCTGACACTCATAAGGCTTCTCTCCCGTGTGAATTCTCTTGTGCGTGTTGAGATGCGAGGAACACCTGAAGGTCTTCCCACACTCCGTGCACTCATACGGCCTCTCCCCGCTGTGAGTTCTCGCGTGGATCCTGAGGGACGCAGAGATGCTGAAGCCTTTCCCACACTCGGGGCATTCGTAAGGCTTCTCGCCGTCATGAGTTCTTGCATGCCTCATGAGGCCTGTGGACTGACTGAACGCCTTCCCACACTGCTCACATGCATAGGGCTTCTCTCCACTGTGAACCCGCATGTGTGTTCTCAAGTTGGACGACTGACTGAAGACCTTCCCACATTCCTGACACTGGAACGGCGTCTCTCCGCTGTGCGTTCTCAGATGCAGGATGAGGTAGGAGGAGCAGATGAAACCTCTGTCACACTCTCGACATTTATAGGGTTTCTCTCCGCTGTGTGATCTTTTATGCTTCTCAAGGGAACAAGAATAGCGGAAAACCTTCTCGCATTCCTGACATTTGTACGGCATCTCCTCACTGTGCGATCTGGCATGCTTTCTGACGTGGGCGTAACTCCTGAAGGTTTTCCCACATTCCTTACATGCGTAGGGCCTCTCTCCACTGTGCGTCCTGCAATGCTGCTTGAGGGACGTGGAGTACGCAAAGGTTTTCGGGCACAGGGTGCACGCGTAGGGCCTCTGTCCGCTGTGTATTCTGCTGTGCGTGCGGAGGTGAGAGGACTGACTGAAGCTTTTCCCACAGTCCTGACATGTGTAGGGCTTCTCTCCACTGTGGACTCTCCTGTGCGCAGCGAGGAAAGAGGAGGACCCGAAGGTTTTGCCACACACCTCGCACTTGTAAGGGTTCTTTTCACCGTGGGCACAGGCATGTGCGGTTAAACGTGCAGAATAGACAAAGCCTCTGCCGCATTCCTTACACACGTATGGTCTCTCTCCGCTGTGGGTTCTCTGGTGTATGGTGAGGGACGCGGAGGACCTGAAGGATTTCCTGCATTCTATGCACTCGTAGGGCCTCCCCGCCCTCGGAGCTCTACCACGTCCACTGAGGGCTGATGCCTCACTAGAAGCTGCCTCGCACAGCTTGTCTTCATGAAGGTTTTCTGGGTCAGGAATTTGCTTATGCAACACGATGGGGGACGGCTGATTAGAAGTCGGCTCAGATCCTTGATCTTCATGCTTAGAACTCCTCATGGGTGTCTTCTGGTTACGTCCACATTTCTCACCAGGGAGCCCAACCACAGGGTCCTTCCCAGCAGAGACCGAAGGCAAGTCGTTGGGGCATGTCTTGCGTTCACGGGCTCGCCTGCCACTGACCGCTCTTTTAGCCGTGATTATGGAAGAAGAACAATGGGGTGCTTCTCCTCGTTCGGTGTGGGATCTGGTTCCATGTGCAGTGGGATCCTTCACAGCTCTTCCACACTCATGGCCTTCAAGCATCTTTATTTCTAGGGAATTGCTGTGTAGCATGGGAAGAGGTGGGGTGTGGCTGAAAACATTTCCACTCTGATTGTCTTCATTATTTCCACAGCGCTTGTTTACCGTGTGATTTCTGCATTAAGAAAAAAAAAGGAATCTCAGGTCAGAAATAATTCTGTTACCTTACCCAACCCAAGGAGCCTAAGTGGTAATACTCTCAACTCTCGAGAAAGGAAGCTGGTGAGATTTTTGTCTCTCATTCTTTGAACATGTTGCTTAATCGATGAGTCCCGAGAGAAGGACATCAGGTTTAGAAAAGTGGACGGTGGGTGAAAAATAAAAAACATTCCTAATGTGTGTTATGCAGATGACACAACCCTGCTTGCCGAAACGGAGGAGGACCTCATGCACTGGCTGCAGAGCGTCAAGGACTGCAGCCTTTAGTATGGACTGGACTCAATGTCAAGAAGACAAAGATTCTCACCACTGGACCAATTGGTAGCATCAGGATGGACGGCCAAGAGATTGAGATTGTTCACAGATTCCGTTTGTTCGGCTCCACATTCAACACTCTTGACACCAGCAGCCAGAAAATCAAAACACATATTGCGATGGGAAAGTCTGCTGTTAGGGACCTCTCTAAAGTACTGAAGAGCAACGGTGTCTCTCTGGAGACTAAGGTGCACCTGATAGAGGCCATGGCCTTTGCTATTACTTGTTAAGAATCAGAGAGTTGGACAATGACTAGGGAGGATAGAAGGAGAACTGATGCCTTTGAGCTGTGGTGCTGGAGAAGAGTACTGAATGTACCCTGGACTGCCAAGAAAACAAACAGATTCATCCTGGAGAGGGTTAAACCAGGTTACTCGTTGGAGGCAGGATTCTGGGGCTTTGTCTGACATACTTTGGACATGTTGTAAGGAGGGACAGGTCCTTGGAGAGGGACATCATGCTTGGGAGGGTGGAGGGACGGTGCAGGAGGGGAAGACCCTCTATGAGGTGGGTTGATTCAGTGACTGGGGTAATCGGGATGGGTGTGTCAGAGGCAATGCGACTGGCACAGGATAGAGCGGGGTTTAGGGCTGTTGTACATAGGGTCGCTATGAGTCACAAACGACTCGACGGCACATAACAACAACATAACACTGAAATGCATTATCATTACCCGCAGTTATCCTAACAGGCTAATAATGTCTGCATAGCTGGTATTGAGAGGGTGGCCGTGTGTTGAACTGTTGGACATAGTTTAAGGATGCAGCTTAAGTCAACTGGACAGAAACAAGCGCCAACAGGACACACATACTGATGGCCTGTGGTTTTCAACGTGGTGGTGCTCTCTATAGTCTTGTAAGTAATCCCACCTCCCACACGGATCCCAAGCGTTCCAAGCTCCTGAGTAATATGCATGGCCAACCTCTCAGAACCATCCAACACTGGGAGAATCCTTCAGAGTCAAGAGCTTAGAGGCAACCGATTTGCATCCTTGGCAATGCAGACAGTGCCTTCCTTTCCAGGAGCAATGGATAAACTATTCTGAGCCAGTGTGAAGCCCTGGTAAATGTACACAAACACATATACGCACACAACAGCCCTTAGAACCTTCTTTTCAGGCAGGGTTCCTTGCTTGGATTCCACTCACCTTGAACGTGTCTGCTGGTGTTGACGCTGATTTGAACGGCTTGGAGATTTGCAGAGGTCCCCTAACATGGAGGACCAGGAGGGATTCTTCAGGAAATGGACCATCAAACGTTCCTTGGACAGCTTCTGTCCCTTATGAAGAGTCTGGGAGACTGAGTCAATAGGCCAAGGGGAGTTTCAGAAGTTAGAACAACAATGTCAAGAGTCATCGTGGGGTGGGGGAGGAAGAGGCTGATTCTAACGAAGAAACGCTTTATCACATCTCCGGCTTCAACACTCTTGTTTGCAAAAATAGTGAAAAAGCTATTTTCTAGCAAATAACATCATGAGAATTGAGAACCATGGTGACCCAAGGGTCATTCAGAGAGCCAGTCACAAACACCACAGACACAGGACACAGTAATATAAAAAAAGAGAAAGAATTTCCATGAAAGTAGGTGTGAGATGTTTACTAATGTGACCTCAGTCAGTGCAGGGAACTCAACATGTTTGCTATGCCCAACAGATCTTTTGTTTTGAGAAATGGATGAAAATTCAATGTCCTCTGTGCAGTGTGTCTTTCAGACCATTCCTTCTTTCCTGTAAACTCTCTCCTCAGTTTCAAACCATCCATCTGTCTCCCGAACAGAAACCCCACAGGGAATACTCCCCTAAGAGTCAACAGGACAGAGGGCAAGGATTTCAATCACAAGAGAAATGATTTCTCCCTTTAATGCACAGAATTTTCTGTTTATAGGAACACGAGGATATGTGAATGCCAAAGACCTGGGGGCCTGGCATCCGCTGTTTCACAATGTGTTCCCATTCCTCAGCTCAAACACTGCTGTAAAGTTAACAAGTCAGTGTTTACCAATGAAGGAATAAAATGTAGATTAAACAGGTACAGCGAAACACTGCCCACATCATTCTTAATTTTAAACTATTAATCCCTTGCTCTGGTTTGCACCACAGCCTATTGGTCTAGGTATAGATTTTGGATGAGCACCATGAAATATTCAGGGACTCCCATTCTTCTCAATATTAGCCATTGTTTGACCCATAAAGTCCAACGTCTTTGCATAACAGAACACAGGCAGGCATGCTTTTGGCTATTTTTTGTTTTCACCCAGGATCCATCTGACGTAGGAATACTTTGGCCAAGTTGCTACAAAAGGCACCTTTTTTACTACAGAGCTTTTCTGCAAGACACAATAAAAGACCTAAAGAAATGGAAAAACATTCACACTTCATGGACAGGAAGATGCAATATGGTGAAAATAATAATCCTACCAAAAGCAGTCTATGCAATCCTGATCCAAATATCAAATTCATTTTTCAAGGAGATTGAAAGGGAATTGATAAAATTTAGTTGGAGAGACCAGAGACCTCGAATAAGCAAAACACTTCTGAGAAACAAAAATGAGGTTGGAGGCATAGCATTCCCCTGACCTCAAAACCTACTATACAGCAGTGGTAACCAAAACAGCATGGTACTGGTACATGCACAACAACGAATGCAACAGAACTGAGAACCCAGAAATAGACCCAGCTATCTATGGTCAACTGATATTGGACAAGGAAATCAAAGATATCAAATGCAAAAATGAAAACCTCTTCAACAAATGGTCCTGGCAAAATTGGACTTCCACCTGCAGAAAGCTGAAACAGGATCCCCCATCTCACACCATACACAAAAATCAACTCAAGGTGGGTCAGAGACCTGGTAGTAAAGGCCAAACCCATAACGTTCTGAAGAGTCAAACTGGAATCAAGCTTAGAGGCGCTAGTTCAAGGTATAAAGAGACTGTCAAATACAAAGAGAAATGCACAATCTAAAGAGGATAAAATTGATGCATCAGACCTTTTAAAGATTAAATCCATGTGTGCATCAAAACCTTTTTCTAACAGGGTGAAAAGAAAACCTACAAACTGGAAACAAACATTTGGTAATATCATCTCAGACAAGAGTCTTATCACCAAACTTTAGGGGCTACTCTTGGGCCTCCACACAAAAAAGAATGATAACCTAATTACAAAATGGGCAAAAGAGATGGAAAGAACTTTCACAGAGGATGATATTCAAATGGCAAACAGACGCACGAAGAAACGTTCCAAATTACTGGCAATAAGAGAAATGCAAATCAAAACCACACTGAAGTATCATCTCACTCCAGTAAGAGTGGCAAAGTTTAACAGGGAAGCAAGTAATAGATGTCGGAGAGGATGTGGGC